AACACGCGATCCTGCCATGAAAGCTATCTGGCGGATTAGATAGTAGATAGAAAGAAGATTGATGACGATTCTAAAGATTTCCTATAAAAATATGAGGCGCGATGCAAGTAGATGCGACAAATGAAAGAATATTGTTCGAAGATTGATTCGCTAGTGGTAGATCTGATGAGCATCTAGAATTGAGATTTGGATGTGTTGCCCCCCTCGATATAGACTTTAATTGGAACACACAAAAATAAGCACGTCTACCAACAACTGGAACACCTACCCTAGGTATGATCCATAAAATTAACATTTATTTATCATTTTTTCTTAAGAAGATTATTATAGAAGCTTCTTTTGGAAGCTAATTCTAGACACTTGACCATCGCTCCGCACATCTACCTAAAAACACGGCAGGACAGTAAATCTAAGTAGTTAAGCAGTAATGGAGCAATTTTTCATGGTTTATGGATCAAAATTAATGATACAGTGTCCAAAACGTGAATAATATACGTCTAATTTATGGATCATGGCTGTTCGGAATATCGGGATAACCCTGTACCGCCAAGCCCAGTGACAACCCTGTGGGGGATTCAGAGAGCTACGGTAACGGTCGATGTCAGAAATGACAGACGTCAGGTTTGGTTCAACGGAACTGTGAACTCACAGTTCCGTTGAGCCAAACCTTAGATAGGTCGGAGTATGAACGAGAAAAAAAGAGGAAAAGAAGATACAATTCCAAACCATCTAAAAAACGTTTTATAGCTAAATTATTTTAATTGCCTAAATTTGTTAATATACCTATCGTTTAATTAAATTGTAGTTATTTGTAGTGACCTAGCTACCAACAATCAATACGAAACTAACGATTTTAAATTGGCTCACTACTTGACTTGCCTATTGGTCCCAAGCAAATCGATAAACGTACCCCATTCTAGTCAAAATTCTAGTACTACACAATGTTTGTTTTGATTCGCTATGAAAGTTTGACAGGTAAAATGAGGGGTTCGTGGATTTTCTCGTGTTTTATAGGGGTGCATCGATAAGCTTGGGACCGAAGATAGTACCAGAGCTTAGCCAAAAAGTTGAGCACATTTCTTCGGGACCTTCTGGTCTTAAAGTTACCTCTATGTAGCTACTGAAGTAGGTTAGTTGGAGGTGGAATTCGTGCAAATATTGAATTTAATAACCCTATATTTGCTTAATCTAGATACTAAAATTTGATCCTAAAATCTGGAAACCTACAATTTGTTCCTAAACGCTATATACATGATTTACCCTAAGTAACTAGTAAGTAGCTCATTCTACATCGTTTGCGTGCTTAACTAAAATAATAATTGAATCCCTAAATGCTAAATCTAGCCAAATTTTTGTTGAAAGAGTGACGGAAGATAACTCTCGGTTTGAAAATCTCTCGCTCAGCCTCCTATCGCTTTTCATGGAGGAATTTCTCTTCCTCCAGCGCTTTCTTATTTGCGCTTTACTCCTGCAGCAACTGGTCTAGGGATTCTTCCAGGCTGACCTCATTGGTACTTCCTTTTCCAGATTCGGTTGCGGCATCACTCCTCGCTCTATTATTTCTGCTAGGTGGTTTCTTTGAGACAGACATCTTGGTTCCTTTTGCCACCTTCAGCATATTTGTGCACTTAGAGCACGTATACGGAACCTCCTTTACAGCTGTTGTCTTACCAGCACAACTATAATGGGTCCAGAAATCGCAGACATCACACTGAACCATATCATCTACGTGGTCATGGCCTTCACAAAGCGTACAATTTCTATCGCTGTTCTGTTCTTCACTCAACGGTGGTGTTGATCCCTCTGACATTTTGAGGTTATATCCGATGTTGTTCTTCAAGAATGTCCGGATTAATGAAAGCAACTTCCTCAGAGCAGTCTCGTTTTGGACAGCTTGAAGCTGAAATAGGTTTTGTTATAAGCATTAAGATTGGTTTTGATTTTATATTAGTTTAATAAAACCTATTTCAGCTTCAAGCTGTCCAAAACGAGACTGCTCTGAGGAAGTTGCTTTCAATTATACGAACATGGCTATATTTTTAAGTGCGCAAACATGATTTTCTAAGGATCACTTTCTTTGGTTTAAGGTTCACTGCTGAATGTATTATGGATCAATTGCAATATGTTTATGGGTAATTCCTTAGAAATTTAGTGGTACATTTTTACAATTGTGTTGCTAAATTTTACATTAAATATGGATCATATTGATATTTTTTATGGATCATTTAAACTTTTTTAAGGATTTTCTACGAAGTTTTATGGATCATTTGGATGTTTTTTATGGAACGTTTTCCAATATTTTATGGATCATTTATTGGTTTTTATGTTCAAAAGTATGTTTGCCTTTTAAAATTAGACCCAAGTTCCAAACGCTCTTGGAAGCTCATAAAAAAATTGAAGAACCTCAAAAGCCTATTCCAGCGCTTAAAAAAGGTGGTAATTTTTTTTTCACAAATTTGGAAAAAGCTCATTTCAGTTTGGGTCTTAAAAGTCCTATTGAAAATCAGGTTTCTCGGGATTATCTGAATATTTGCGGGACTGATTTGGACGAAGTAAGATCTACAACTAAAAAGTTTCATAATATGAAAGCTCCAGGTGAAGATCATCAAAAAACTACCAGAGAGTACCTTGTCTTTTTTGGTAAAATTATTTAACAGATGTTTCCATTTGGCATACTTTTCTGATAAATGGAAAAATGCAAAAGTTGTTCCAATTTTGAAGCCGGATAAAAATCCAGCTGAAGCTTCTAGCTACCGTCCAATAAGTTTGCTTTCTTCAATAAGTAAAATTTTTTAAAAGATAATTTTAAATATAATTATGCTTTACATGAGTACGAACTCAATTTTTGCAGATGAGCAGTTTGGATTTCGCCATGGACAATCAACTACTCATCAACTCTTAAGAGCTACCAACTTAATTCGTTCAAACAAATCTCAAGGCTGCTCAACTGGAATTGCTCTTCTAGACATAGAAAAAGCATTCGACAGTGTTTGACATGAAGGTTTGATTGCTAAATTGAAAAAGTTTAATTTTCCACTCTATATTATGAAATTAGTTCAACATTATTTAACTGACAGAACTCTGCAGGTCAATTATAAAAATTCCAAATCCAGTAGTCGATCAACCTGTTAGAGCAGGAGTTCCTCAGGGTAGCATTCTTGGGCCTATATTGTATAACATTTTCACTTCGGACCTACCTGATTGCCTCAGGGCTGCCACAAATCTTTGTTCGTCGATGACACAGGCATTTCCGCTAAAGGAAGAAGTCTTCGTGTTATTTGCAGCAGACTGCAGAAAAGTTTAGAAATTTTCTCTTCTTATTTACAAAAATGGAATATTTCTCCCAATGGTTCCAAAACTCAACTTATAAAATTTCCACATAAGCCTAGAGCTTCGTTTTTGAAACCTAGTAGTAGTAACATAGTTACTATGAACGGAGTTCCAATTTCCTGATCAAACCAAGTGAAATATCTTGGATTAGTACTTGACCAAAAATTAACTTTTAAAGATCACATTGAGGGCATTCAAGCCAAATGTAATAAGTTTATAAAATGTGTGTATTGTCTTATAAACAGGAAATCCAAACTTTGCCTTAAGAATAAACTTCTAATATTTAAAGAAGTTTTTAGACCGGCCATGCTTTACGCTGTGCAAATATGGTCTAGTTGTTGCACTTCTAGGAAAAAAGCACTTCAAAGGATTCAGAACAAAGTTCTGAAGATGATTTTGAAGTTGCCTCCCTGGTACAGTTCTAACGAAGTACATAGAATTTCGAATGCTAAGACTTTAGAACAAATGTCTAACAAAATATTTGTCCTTTTTGGAAAGTAATATTACACAATATTTTCGACACGATTGAAATGCATCCACTTTGAAGTGATATAATTTTTTTTTTGCAGTGTGCGGAAAAGTTAGACCGATTAATATATCATGATTCTATAAAATAAGGCAGAATTCTTTAAAAAAAAAACAAACTCTCGAAGATGGCGAAGTCCTGTTTTGCAACTTTTCTTAAAACTACACATTTTTGCGGCAAGATGAGGTTCAAAGCTAACATTGGAATAATTCTCAATGTACAATTCATCAATTTGTAGTTTATTTTCATTATATTGGTACACTAAACCACTATTTGACAGCTCAATAGGTTCTCGAGATTCTATCCGCCAGACTATGAATAAAAATAGCGACTATAATGTATAGGTGTTCAAATCCCACTGAACGATTGCTGCAAACGATGGAAGTTAAATGTATTTTTTTTATAAAATGTATATTCAATGGGCTTTCTAAAAACAAGACACCCTTAGGGGTAGATAGTAACATTGAATGAAAATTACTAATCTCTCTTTCGTTGTTCAGAAATTTCACACTCATTGGTCAGGATCCAAAATCATATTTTCCATAACTTTACCGAATACGCATTCAATTTTTAGCTCCCATAATTGTTTAGATTTAGAATTTCCACCATTCTAACCATCTTTTGCTACCAAGAACCATTTAATTTTAAACATCTTATAAGCAGACACCAACCGTTAAAAATGAACTGATAACAGGGCATATATTTATTCCCCTGCTAATTTATCGCCTGGACCATAATTTACTCGTGATATTATCTACATCCGTTTTTTTTTTCTGTAATCGAATCAAAATCTCATTAGCATTTAATACACTGGCAGACTCCAGCTAAAAGAAAGCGAAATTGTGTTTGTCGACGACTACAAATAACCAATCCTCTTGGCACCACTCTTAGTAAATTTCATTGCTTCACTATTTCTTAAAACAAAGGACCTCATTCGTTCGCCCAATCAACCATTCAAGGTAGATACATCACCCACCATAAGCACGGGAAAAACCAATCTGTTCTGCTCTTTCTCCAGCTGAGCGAGAGATGGGAGGTGTCAGCTAATTCCCGTTATGAATGAAACCCGAGAACTCACTCGACAATGGTCAGCTTGGGTTGGAGGAAATAGAAAAAGAAACAATCGAAAAAACAACAGACTCACCTCGCTTTCCTATCACGTACGTCACTCCCGGAGCCAGCCTTGTCCGTCGAGGAGGAGTTGGTACCACCGTTCGATCCATGCCGCTGATTGCTTCCGCTGCTCGGCGGAGGATTGCTTCTATTGCTGGGGCTTCGATTGACTTTATAATTGCTACTATTGCTTTTAACACTGCTATTGCTGCTGCCCCCACCACCCCCGTTGCTTCCACTGGGGTGGTTTGATTTGGCCGACGCTCTACTATTGTAGCCTGATCCTAGATCGGCCAGAGAATAATTGCTTTTCGAGGACGTGGAATCCTGTTTCACCAGCACGGAAGTCCCCGTTGCTATCGTTGTCATCGTCGACGTCGAGCCCTGATGGGAGAACGATTTCGAAACACGGTCCCGCGTAATTGGCATCTCGTGTTCACCGAGAAAGGTGATCGAGCTCGCTTTGACAATCGACGATGGCCGGGGTGCGCCGTAGATGTAGCGCGGCGGTCCACCGCCGATGACCGTCGGGAGATCCCGGTCGTGGATGTCGAAATTGTTTTGCTTCTTGAGCGGATGGTGTCCGACGCCACCGTAGCTATTGGCCTTGATCGGGACCAGGGTGGCGCCGGACCTTGCACCGATTACAATCACTTCACCACCTGTTCCACTGAGAAGACCTGTAGCACTACTTGCAATGTCACCAGCACCGATACTCTTTCTGTTCAAACAGTTTTCACTACCCGATTTTGTTAACTGATTGTGTTCGACCGTTAGCGACGACGTGACGCCACAGTGTGGCCAAAAATCACAGGAACTAGCGGTACAACTGAAATGGATACAAAGAGGAGGGAAAATGCGTTCAAAAATCTTGACAGTGGCCAATTTCGCTACAGGTTTCTGGATGTTGTCTGTGGGGTTGTATACTAACGTTTGTTCTTGGATGTTTGTTTTGGCTGTTATTTTGATTTAGGCTATAGAGTACATCGAAAAGGGGAGTTAGAACACTTTTGAATCACTTGATTGGTTTAACAGTTCCATAAGTGAAAGTTTAACAGTTTCGTTTTTTAGTTAGTAACTACTAACGTAGTAAGTTCATTCGTATGATTTATCGTTTTCTTAAAAACAACGTTGTTCGTATTAAAATATCAATCTTATCGTATCGTATTTAAATTCCTTGTTAGTAGTCTTGTTAGTCTTACGGTTAGGCTTTTGATTTTGGGTGATCCTGCCGGGTACCGTGGCACCGGCCATACTCGGGTTAGTGTGTTAGTCGTGATCGATCGCTACATTTCTGACAGTTACTTTTTTCTGTTTGTTTTGATTTTGATTGGCTAGGAGAAGGAATTAAGCAGTTCAATACCTTCCAGAAGATGGCGTTCCGGCCGGAGGTACAACAACGTTACGTGACTCTCTTTGCAATTGCTTGTTTTTGGTAGCGTACAAGAACTTCTTGACCAGTTCGGCTTCCTTGAAGGCAGCTACTGCTGCCGCTGCCGCTGCCATTGGCGTAGACGTCGTTGTCACCGTCGAGGTCGTCCCTGCTGCGGGTGTTTTATCATCCACAAAATCGGGCGTGATTCGATCGTCATACTCGGAATCCGGTGTCAAATTCCTCATTAGATACAAATCCGAAGGCTTCTGATAGTGCCCCAGCGAAGGCTTGCTGGCTCCAGGTACAGGTGAGCGCTCCCGCGAAATTATACGTCTCTGAGTGTAGTTTATAATCGGAGACCGGCTCATCCTGCTCACGTCGTACTGCTGCAGATCGTGGTCGTACAATCTACTTCCATACGTCTGTGGACTCCTGTTTCTCGACGTAGATGATTGACTGTACTCGTTGCTCGACGAAGTGCCCGTCGATCCAAACACTCGATCATGGCTGTAGGACCTGCCCTCCGTTCCAACGTACCCCCGCTTCTCGCCCTCGATGCCATAGTTCTCGTCAAACGACTTGCTCTTGTCGAAATCGTACTCGTACACTCCATAGTTGTTGTTATCGAACGATTTGCTCTTGTCCACATCGATCGAATGCGAAGCCGTCTCCCGTCGCAACCGATCCAAGGTAGTGTTCGGCGATACACGTGGATAAACCGAATCCTGCTGCGCTAGTAATTGACTGCCACCAACCTTGCGGGCACCGGTATAGGTCGGCCGTTCCTTGTTCGGGACATTCCCCAGCCGAACGACCACTTTGTGCGGCTGAGTACCAACACCAACACCACCCGTTACCACCTGCTGCCGACTGGGCGACCGTTCCGACAGCTGCAGGGATCTACATGGGGGAAAAAAAGAAAATCGACGGTTAGTAGCGCAATGTTAATTGAAAGAGCAGATGGGAGCTTGAGAGTGTGGGTGAGGGATGGCGCGAAGTTCGCTAGCCCAAGCTGATGGGTGCGCAGGATGCACTACTGACTGCTACATCTACGGTTCGGTTTTTGCAGGAATTGCAGCTAACTATGTGTGTCGCACTGTTGGAGAGTTGATAAATTGAGAGATGGTTGAATTTTGCTGGAGATACGTTTTTTGTTTTGTTTTTGGGTGAGAAATAGAATGCAGAAAAGAAAACTTAATTCTACTAAAATAAGAATTAATCAACGGAGGAAACTGAACTGACTGACAATAATTGGCTTAATGAAATTGGCTTAAATGATATGTATATTTTTTCTTCTAGTCTCAAACTACCACAACTCAGACGATTTTACGATTTGTAAAGACATTTGTGCACACACTTGGAAATGATTACCGACTTCGGTAATTTTTACCGAACTTTCAACAGCAACTGTTCGGTATAAATCAGGCATTTTAATTTATTAGTTTTGAGGCTTCAAAACAAGGAATACTTTACCACAATGGCAAGACTCAATCTTTTAAACAAGGCTAACATCGTATCTAAATTAAAATTTAGTGAAACAGCTTTTGAAATGAGCGTCAAAGTTTTTCCGAACGTTCAGCTATTGGAAGTTTGGTAAAAAATTACAGAAGTTGGTAATTATCTCTCACCCCAGCAGGCCTGGGTTCAATCACAGTCGGCGCCGCCGGGATGATCTGAGGCATAACATCTCTTATCACGCCTTCCTTTGGAAGGGCACACGGGACTGACTTCAAATGATTCCACTATGGGATTTTACAAATTTGACAGGACCCCCTTAAGTGATCTACAAATGTATGGCCCATAACAAACTTGAACAACACATACGAACTTTACAGCTGTCGATTACACCGCATGTGTTTGTTTAGCGTTGATTGAAAAATAGCAGAGAACAGGAAAACGCTGGCCCCTTGGAAGGGAAGTAAAGCCGTTGGTCCCCGGTTCATGAGTTGATGGATCGATAGGTAGGGTCCAGGTGTAGAAGCTGCCTCCTTGGCGTCGGTAGCGTTGGTGCTCAGCAAGGAAAACAAGCAACCGGGATCTTCAACCAGGAAATTTGCGTGAACGAGAGTCTGGAAAAACGTCTGCTGCACGGCCAATCATACCAACTCAGTGAATAAGAATAATTGGCTCAGAGAATTTTCTTTCCTTGCGAAATTCCGGAGTCACGATAGTTTATGAGTAACTGTAGTTTTTTTTTTCCAAATCTGAGTAAATTTCGTATGGAAAGAAAATTCTCTGAGTCAATTAATCATTTTGTCAAGCTTCTGCATTCATGTTCCATCAGATGTCACAGCTGTTATTTGCGGTGACATCTAACGGAAACTACACACAATCTGTTTTCCTATAAATGTTCACAGAGGACACTGCAGTGCAAAACATGTCTGGTACCTCTATATATGCATTTAGATAATTATTCGAAGTCCCTCCTTTTTTACACATTCTGCACACAAAATAGCTCACCCCTCACATAATTTCCCGCCGAATTTTATGTATGGGGTGGGGCATAAAGTATCTTTTGCGCAGAATATGTAAAAAAGGAGGGACTTCAAATGTTAAAGCAAATGCATATATAGAGGTACCAGACATGTTTTGTAGTGTCAGGTACTCTATTTTGTAATCTGTGAAAGAGAAATCACAAATCGAGTGTCAACAAAATACATGGCATATTGAGAGATTGAGCTCGTGAGAGAGAATTTCTCTCTCAAATTTGAATTTTTTTGGCTCTCTGGGAACTGGTAGTAAAGCAGGTAAAATTGTATGGGGAAATTCATTCATTTTTATTTAATTGTAGCTTGTTTAGCATTAATTTCCGGGAAAAAACTGAACGACAAAGCCCCTGACTATTTTTTTTAGGTTGTCGTTCAATTTTTTTGACCTGAATATGCACCGAAAGCAAATTATTCCCACTTCTCTCAATTTCTATATGGGGATTTTTATCACTTCCTACCAGCGGAATAGCGCCATCTCTGTGGAAAATGGTCGAACAAAATGATTAATTATTCTCAGTCACTGAGTTGGTATGATTGGACGTGTACCTTTCCTGAAGCAACACGATTGTTCCATAGAGATAACTCTAAGACCAGAAGGTCTCGAAGAAACGTGCTCAACTTTTTGGTTCAGCTTTGGTACTCTCTTCAGTCCCAAGCTAATCGATGCACCCCTCGAAACCCCTTTTTGGTGTCAATAAAGTGTATCACAAACTTCCCTACTGTTTCAAATTAAACTAAAAATATGGATTCACCTAGAGACAGAGAAAAAATAAATTGATTGGAGCTTTTAAACGAAGAATCACAAGGAAATGCCATAGGGTAGTCGAATAATAATAATAATAGCGATAGTAGGAGGAATAATTGTAGCGATGTTGCCGACGGAAAGGAAAAGGACTCCAATTCCAGAAGTTTCTGGGAGGCCTAGCAGCTCCGACTAAACCGGTCAACAATGAAAGAACAGCTGACTGAGAAGAGTAAGTGAATGCGGTTCACGAAGCACGGGAATCCGTCAAATTATACGCTTTAATTGATGGGAATACCTGGGAATATCTGAATAAACACAGACCAACCTCTCCAGTCTCCATAAATCGCGTTTCGATGATCATTTGAATAACATGCATCAATGCCAAACTGGGACTGCGGAAAACTACCGACAGGAAACTTCAGAAGCTGTCAGTCAGCTGGAAACTGACTGCCTCCGAACCATAGCAGTGGCTTCATTCAGCGAAAGGGTCAACTGTTCCAAAAAATCTTAGCAAGCGCACATTAATTTCTCCGCATCATCCGGGAGAAGGGTAACTTTTTGGGAACGATTGAGCTTCCATCTGTTCCAGGTTATGCAGATACACTTCCTGATTAACTGCAATGGATGATAATCGCCCTTATAGAGGATGCCACGCAACTTGTTGATCCAACGCAGGAGTAGAAACTCGGTGCAATGATCGTGCAACAAAACTATCGAAATGTAAACAAATTTTGACGTTTCACTTTTTCCAGGCACCATCAATGCCGTCATGAAACCAAACGGAATATGATCAAGCTAATCTTCATTAACGTTAAATTAAAACGTTTTGTATTTGTTGACGATTTCATGAATACAAAACAGCTTTTTCACAATTGGCCTATGGAAAATCAATTTTTATGCCACCGCCATATTGCTATTATTACATTTCTTTTTTTTTACTATCTTCGGGTTGCAAGAGCCGTCATCGATAGTCGCCTACTGTACGGTCTTGAGAGGACGTGCATCACCACCGAAAAGCAGATACTAGCACCAACTTTTAACACCTACGTTCGGATTGTCTCCGGTCTTCTTCCGTCAACGCCCGCCGATGCCGCATGCATCGAAGCGGGAATTCTGCCCTTCCGTCATCGTATAACCGCAGCAATCGCAACGAAAGCCGCTGCCTTTACCACAATGACCTCCGGAAATGACAGGATCTTTCTCCTCAATGAGGGGAACATACTCCTCCGCATGACTGCCAATTAAGAGCTCCCCCCCAGTGGCCAAGGTCCACTGGTACGGAGACAAAAGTTGGCGCATACTTCCACCAAAAATCGAGAGTCGGATAAAGAGCAGGTTCAAAGCTGTAGATAACGCTGAAGAGAACAATAGCCGAACTGCTAGGCTCGGACTACCCAACCCACGCCCACATATACACGGACGGATCGCTTTCCCGAGCCGGGGTCGGAATTGGAGTAGCCGGAATTTCAGCACCGATGAGTAGCAGCCTACCGCCACAATGCTCGGTTTTCTTGGGTTTCTTCCGTTTTCCGAAAAAGGATACCATCAGACAGATTTGGCTAGCACTCTGTGGCCTTCCGGATAGCTTTCAACTACAAGGAGTAAGTACAAAAAATAAACTATGTTTTCGTCATTGCTAATTGAAGCGAATTTTTTCAGTTACATTTTCTTGAAAGTGACCTCTACTCCGATACCAACGGAAAGACACGAACAATTAAGGATGCAGTTCCTTTCTATCAAAATGTAACACAGTTGAACGCCAGGAAGCGCAAGAGGAGTAGTTTCGAAGATTTCGATCTGCTGGAATCAAATTGTCTTGTTGAAAGCGGAGGAAATCAGAATGCTCACGAGCAAAGGGAAGATGTTGGCTTTGCTGAAATGCGAGACGCGATTACCTCGGAGATATCAGTTAAACACAGCGCGATGGAGTACCTAGATGTCGAATTATTGGAGGAAATCGACGACAATTGTAACGACGAATGTTATTTGGAAACCATAAGAGCGAAAAATGCATACCGGAGCCCAAGCAACACACATCCATCAAAATAGGTTGCTGCAACTTGATTGTGACTGAAATAAGGTGCATACAAGTAACCACAACAGTTAAATGACAAGTGTGCTGCTAGGGAGTCAGGGTGGCCCCAGTGTTAGTGAGGGATCACATCTGCAGTTCACGTCCAGTGTTGTAGTGGATACGAAAAAAAAAACTTGTTAATGTAATTGCCCACTGCCATAGATATCAAAGAGTGTTTTAGGACAAAAAGTATGTTTATTTGTAGGAAATGTTTATATTTTGCTTTTTGTTAAAACAACACTAGATCACAATACTTGCTCCTTTGAAGCAAACCAAAGGATGACAGTCCGTTTGGTTACACTTTTTGACAGTTCGTTTGGCTGCACATACAAACGTTGTCCAGTCTATATACAGTGTCTATAGTGCTATCCGATTTGTACAGCGTGATACAAGCCCTTACATCGGAGACCATGACTCACCCCTGGATACAGGGTATTGTGGAGGCCACACATCCGAGCACGGTGTTTGCTTGGATCCCTGGGCACTGCGGTATCCCAGGAAACAGCGAAGCCGACAGCCTGGCAGGGTCTGGACCAGCTAGCCCCCGTTACACCGACGAAGTGCCACTACAGGACATAAAGCGATGGATAGT